CACCATGCCACGGGCACACTTGAAGCATTTGTCTCATAATGCGCTTGATCATACTATTTACTATGCATTTTGGGTTAAGCATTGGACTAGGCCCTTTACATACATAATCTTATTTAATTCACAACAAAGAGCTTCCCTGTATATCACAGGAGGAAAAAAAAATCCAATTTAGAAACTGAGGCTGAGGCAGGAAGAATGCTGCAAGTTCAAGGCCAGCCTGGGCTACGTAGTGAACTCAAAGCCAGCCTGAACTGTATAATGAAACCCTGTCTCAAAAAACAAAACAGAACAAAAAATCCACTTAGTAAACAGTGAGATTACCCTAAAAGGGTTGCCGAGACTTGGGTAAGGTAGGTGCGAATCCTGCAGTGTAATTTAGCAGCACTGTGGGCCTCAGGATGGACACGTGGCCATTCTGGGCCAGGGTTCTCTTTTGTTAAGAAGTGGATGAAAGTATCTATTAAGCTCTTTGTTTTACAGTCTATTCAACAGAAAACAGGAGCTCTCGGGACAGTGCTAGCTTGGGGATTGGACGTTCCAAGTTCTAGTGCTGGCTTCCCAAGTGCCCAGCCTGTGACTCTGGGTTATGGCAGAGAGTGTTCAGCTCACACCTTCTCCACCCTGCAACTTCCACCAGAACAGACGATGCATCGCAGTCACTCAGACGGCATCAGTTCCACCCAAGGCGTTCTCTGTGCCCCGGGAAGAGCGTCTAGAGAGGCTGGGGGGAGTGTGAGAAACGCCCCACTTCGCAGCTGTCCCTGCCTGCCCTGCACCGTGCATAAACAGGGTCCCTCTCCAGAGCTCTCTGCTGGCACCTTTTCTCCATTCCTTTCCAGAAACAAAGAAAGGGGAAATTCATATCCTTGTGAAGCATGCATTGCCTTCTCCGGGCAACTGCCAAAAGCCCAACTGCAGATAGAATCCATCTGACAAAATCCCTGGACTGCTTTGATTCAGTTCTTCAAGGAGATTAGTTGTTGAGAGGTCATGGCGAGGGCAGGCACCGCACATGGCAGCTGGGCGTTCAAGGCTTTCACTACTGAGGGAATCCCGCACTGGGTGCCTCTTCTCTCTGTGCCGCTTAATCAGTGAATCAACAAATAGTTACTGGGCAAGGCTTCCTGGGGCCTGCGGGCCACTCAGATGTGGCTCTCAGTTCAATAGCAGGAGGAAGAAAAATGGATTCTTTGTGTGACTCTTCTTAAAGTTTCCATTTATATAACCAGAGCTGCCATCAAACGGCTGTGGATCTCCTGTCCTTCTTCCTCCTACCTCTGAGCCCTCTGATTCACAAAGAAGAAATGTAGCTGAGAGAAGAGAGGGAGGGAGGGGTGGAGGGAAGAAAGTTGAGGGAATGAGACCTGTAGGTCAAGGTCAAGGAGGTCAACAGGCAGAGAAGGTGTGGACAGCGATCCAAAGAAGCGTCCCCTCGGTGTGTGCAACCCCACGCCAGCTCCCTTGTTCTTCCTGCTCTTTAATGTGCATGGTTATCTTTGAGACCGACTAGCGACCACTAGGCTTGAAGCTTCCAGATGAGTGCAACTGGGAGTATCTTAGACCTTTAGGTACCCTTGGACCCACAACTCCAGCAATAAGATCACACACAAAATGTGCGGGCACCTTCAACCCTATGGTGTCAGAAATCCTCAATGCAAAAGGGAAAATCTGAAAACGCTAGCTCTCCTAAATAACTGGCATGAATATATATATATTATATATAATAAATGATTGCCTTTGGCTTTTAACACAGTGTTATCTAAAACACCACACGATGCTGTAAACTGGATCGCCATCTGCTGAGCAATTACTTGTTACTGTGCTGTAGGACTGACTAGGAGCGGGGAGGGGACTCTGCTACCGTGCGGGTCTCATTCTTCTCAGTCCAGCCCTGAGCAGGATTCTACTTAATAGTACCTTCCTCCAGTCCAAATGAATCATAACTAGCAGCACTTTATTGAGCATGTACTATGTCAGGCATGGAGCTAGGTGTTTCTATACATTAGCACAGGTCAGCCTTCCCCCTTCCAATGGCATCTGTTATTATCCTCAGTCTATATGGGACAGTGGGGGACATCAGACAGGGGACATAATTTTGCCTAAAGTCAAACCCTGGGGTGCTCTACCATTGAGCTACATTGTCAGCTCTTTTTATTTTTTATTTTGAGAGAGTCTTCCCAAGTTGCTGGGCTTGAAGTTACGATCCTCCTGCCTCGGTTTCCCAGAGTGTGGGCTAACAGGTGTGCACCACCCCGCCCAGCTTGCCTAAAATCTCATAGTTTGGTAAAAAGCAACAACTGCAACACAGGTCTAGCTGCAAAGACTGGGCCCTTCACCACCCCGTGGCTAACACCTGCTTGGAGAATCAAGGCAAAGAAAAGTTCAAACTATATTTTTATTATAATTCATCCTCCGGGGCTTGGTGCTCCCACATGCTTGCAAGTCCTCCTTTCCCCTCCAAAGCTAATTCCTAGAGTTTCACCTCTTTTGAAGGAGCACACCTGGTATTAGAATAGCAAACAGGTTATGAGACCACAGGCTTTACCTTGCCGTTTTGCAGAACTCCCCAGTCTAAGTATGCAGTGAGGTCCGCTGACACTTGAAAAGGTTCTCTTCTCTTTGGTTTGGTTCTGTTTTGTTTTGGCAGTGATGGGATCAAATCCAGGGCTTCATGAATTCTAGGCAAGTACTTTACACTAAGCCAGATCCCCAGGCTCAAAAAGATATATTTCTAACAAAAGCTTATAAATATAAGTTCTATGCTAATATTCGATACAAGTCTAAACAAAGGGTTTGCTTGATAAAACCTTGAGTGCATTTAAAAGGTTTGATGCTTTTACATCCTATTGAGTTCCTTAATGTTTTTCCATGTGCTGACTGGCTCTATTACAGTGGAAGTCCCAACACAAAAACACACATCCAACAGCCTTTCATTCAGTATGACATCTATACATGTGCAATACGATCTATTCAGACGAATCGCTACTTCAAAAGGCGGTAAAATGAAACACACCATTATCTTTTGGTCCAAGATGATGCAGTTCCTTTCCATCTACCTGTGGAAGGAAGTGCAGCCCCAAACCCCAGGTCTGCTATGCCCTTGGACACACAGCTCTACATAGAGTGCTCTGCTTCCAGAGCTGGTTTGAGACAGTGACCGGGTCGTCCCATTCCTGCCAGCTGTGCACCAAAGAATCGACCTTCCACCTCTGGACACACACAGCTGTGCTTCTAGGTCCTCCCCAATCCCTCAACTTCGGCACCCAGACTTTATTTTTGCATTTCTTTTAATAAGCACAGCCGAAAACAGCACACGAATCAAACCATGAAGTCCTGGCTGGTGTTTCCTGGTTGAGAGTGAACTGATGAATTCAATTATTTTCACATGTAGAAACCATTCCTCCCAGAGCAGGGCAAATGTTATCACAAGACCTGGTCCGTGCAGAGCTCAGGAAAGGCCCAGGTGGGAGATCCCTGAGGTTAGGCCCAGCACTTCCCGCAGCCCCTGCCTGTGCCTAATCCTGTGTCGAGAAAGTTGTTTCTGAAGCAAAGAACAATTTTCAGAAAGACCAAGGTTAGACATTAATCCGGAGGCGCAGGAAAGGAGCAGAGACAGTTATACTGTTTACAAGTAAAGGAGCAAATGCCCTATGATCCTCTCCAGTGTGGAGTTGAGAACTTCTGGGGTTTGAGTACCATGACCTTCAACAAAGCAAGCCCCAATTCACACAGCCTTCCTCTCTGTTTCTCAAAGGCACTTACCTACTGGGGACACCCACAAGTCACCGAGCTCAGGCAGGACAACAGCAGCCCCCACCTGCCAACTTCCGGGAGACACCCATTTGGGCTGCTCAGAAATAGGGGCTGGGGCGGAGGGGGGAGAAAAGAAAGACTTTCCCTTTAAAGCTGCACGGGAGCGGATACCAAATCACATGACCTTTTACCGTAATTTCTATTAAAATCATTTCATGTCTGGTTGCCTCTGCTCTCCCGGCTCATTTGTATTGTTTACAACAAGTCATTGCCCTGGCAGTTAGCGGTGGCTGAATCCATGGTTACCCGTTTTTACATTCACTAGTTAAATGGAATGCAGCTCAGCTGTGGGTTGCAGGGAGCGAGCTCTTAAGAAACCACAATCCAGCTATCAATCAGCCTAATCTGAGAGAAATTAATCTCACAAGCGTAAGTATCGTTGCATATTAAAAATTGATAGGAAGGGGCGTGGGGCTTTTACCAGCTGAAGTTACCAAAGTGGACAAGCTCAGATGGACGCCCAGCCCCCGAGTGGGGTCTCCAGCTGACAGTCACTCAGGCTGTGCATCTAAAAGGCTTTTAAGAGTAATCCCACACCCAGGCTTCAAACTCCTGCACCGCCCCCCAAATTCTGGGAGCATTCCTTTCACCTGCCAGTTCTTAAGAGTCTCAGTAACACCCTAGTACAGCTTAACCAGACTGCAATCCTAGCAAGTAACTCACACAGATATGCATAAGCCACTGAAACACCAGGCAGGCAGCACCAAACAGGATTCAACGGACACAAAACCCTAGAGGAATGCTCTCTACGAGTAGATTAAAACTGCAAACTATGTGTGTTATTGAGAACAGGAATGGTACCAACTCATTCCACTGTCTGTGAATTTATGTAGTTAATTCTTTCAAAACATTCCCCACTGCTAACTTGCTTCTCAAAATGGACCTGGTCAACAACTAATTCCTAATAAAAATTGCAAAGTTTTATAGCTTAACGCCTACCGTCCTTGTCCCACGAGTCATGTCTACATGCTAAACGAGAACAACAAACAGTTAAAGCTAACATATGCCAACCCCATCTACTGCAAAGTCACTGTATCAGAAGCTAGAATTGATTTGTTTCCTCAGAACAAATTGAAAATGAAGGTAACATAGCGTCGGAAAACCCCTCCTGCCCTGCTAATCGGATCTGGAATAATGGTCGGCAGCAACTCCCCAGGACTACTGCTGCCCGAATCACCCTTACTCACGCGTTCTAGGCTCTCCCCAGAGTTTGGTGCAGTTTCAAGGACAAATGTCTCAAAGAAGCCGCTCTCCTGTGCTGCAGGGAGCCCAGCTCGGATCTGAAGACGGCAGCTCAGGGCTACATGTGACGCCAGGGAAGGAAACTTCCTGCGTGCACAGGAGCTCTTGGAAAAAGTCTCGGGGTTAAAAAGGCTGCTCGCAGCGGGTGGATCTGCTTCCCGGTTGTGTACACCCGGGAGCAGCTGATCTGTGTTCCCAGCCCTGCAGAGAGGAACCTTGACTGAGAACCAATGGCATCACATTTCAGCCAAGTGCCCAGAGAGCACAGCCACCTCCGACAACTTCACAGGTCCAAGCCCAAGCCAGCAGCCTCCCCACAGGTCCGGTGGAGGAGGATGTGGGAGGTGTCCCTGCCAGGTGCCAGCCTGCTCCCCGGAAACTAACTCTGCTCTGGGCTGGATGGGAGGTTTTCCCTGGACTTGGGGAGTTTTTCTCTCCCCTGCCCTGACCTGCCATGGACTCACTGTAACAGAATTTTACTAATGAATCTGAATTCTGAAAATGTATTTCCCTCTGAATCTCATATAAACCTTTGTGTGTAAGGCTCCTCTGATGTTCCTTAGAAAGGAACCGAGAGGAAAATAATACAGGATCGGATCATGTGGTGCCAGTTCCACACTCAGTCTCTCATTGCAGAGGCTGGAGGTTTGAAGTACTGCATTGGCTGGGCCATTTTATTATTGTCCCTTATACATTGGGGGCGACTGCAAAACTTAGTTCCCACAAAACTGACTATCATGAGACACGGGCCATCAAGGGCAAGACAGACAGAGGAGAGCCTGGTACATGCTGGTGGCAAACAACGGGACTCTCTCTCTCAATTGAGGTCACTGCTGGCCTCCTTCACTGTGAGTTCCAGCCTAGCTGGGGGTATCGCAGGACAACACTTCTCACTATTCCATATTATATTTCCAAAGGTGGAAATCAGCACCAGAGGATGAACAAGACCAGGGGAGAAGTGTTCCTTCCCCACTGAAAGCTGGCCCAGGGGACCTTCCATTAGAGAGCCCATGTCGTATCATGAAAAGCTGGGACCACTGGCTCCATATTCAACTTCCCATCTTGTCTCCAAATGCATAGGGTGCTTAAAATTTCATCTGTGAAATGGATATCATCAATCATATAAGGAGTGATCAAAAATAGAGAATGTTTAAATTTTAAAATTTATTGCAGTAAAAGACAGATTGCCATGAATCTCCCTCAAAGTCCTCCTCCTCACTTCAAACACACTTATCCCATACTTCTTGTCACTTTCTGAAGCAGCTCTGGAGTCCTCTTTCTTTTCTTTCCAGGGTGTGACCAAAAATATGGTGAATGCTGCTGCCAAGTGCCATCCAACAAAAAGACAGGCTCATAACAACATGACACTGTGTTTTCATCCACCTTATTCACTAAAGCTGGCACTGTGTGTGCAATTTCTGGCTCTTCTCCAAGGTCAAAGGACCATGAGAAGTCAACACTTTGAATCCATTCAGGACATCAAGGCAGACAGAGTAGCACAAGACATGCAAGAAAGAGGACTTCAGAACTGCTTCAGAAAGTGGCAAGAACCATGGGATAAGTGTGTTTGAAGTGAAGGGGAGGATTTTGGAGGGGGGGTATTCATGACAATGTGTCTTTTACTGTAATAATTTTTAAAAATTTTAAACACATCCCATATTTTATTTTTATCACAAACTCACCCAGGACTTCTGGGAAAGATTTAACAGATAGCATGTTGAGGACCAACCACATGCATACACAAACATGTACTGAGCTCCTCCTGGAGTTCAGCACGGGGCCAAATTCTGGGGAGCTGGTGCCTGTGCTCTGGTGTAGGTCCCCAAGTGCCTGTCTCCTCTCTCCCTCTCATAGGCATGCAGCCTTTCTCATGCTCATAAAAACATTTTCAAAAGCTGTCTTGGGGCTAGGGATGTCACTCAGTGTTAGAGCACTTGCCTTGCATGTCCAAGGCCCTGGGTTCCACCACTACAAAGAGAAAATATGCTCTGTCTCCTTCTGATCCTTGCAACAAATTCATGAGACCCAATGTATAAATGGGAAGGCCACCTCTGAAAGAGATAAAGGTCACACAGCTGGTAATCTGCAGCTGGAATGTCCATCCAAGCTCTGCTGTTCTGCCAAGGACCCTTTCACATGTCTGTATGAATTGGCCAGGTAGCACTTGTACTTTGCACAATTCTACATTGCACTGTTTTGTTGTTTTTGTGTTTGTAGTGTTGGTGATAGAACCCAGGGCCTCATACATGCCAGGCAAATGCTCTACCACTGAGCTGTAGGTCCAGGCCACTGTACTAGTAACAATTTCATGGGTTACCTAAAGTAGTGTGTATCTCCAGAAAAGAGAGACTATATCTCCAAACTGCACTGTATTCAGTAACAGACCTAGCACGATGATAAACATATTATGTGTTCAATAAATTTCTCCAAATTGAGAAGAAACCCAAGCTGGGCTGATTTTGCTACCTTTGATCCATCAGTCCTTCCATAAATGATGGTTTGGGCTTATCTGAGGTATTCTAGGATTCACACTATGTGCTTAATTCCTTCCAAATAATCCTATCTCAAAATTCTCAATACTGATTCACAATTAAACCACCCAAATTTTGTTTTCTTCATGCACTTGGCATGTATACTGTACATTCAGGACATAATGATTTTTGGTAAAAGTGATTGAATATTGACTTTTAAATTCAAGCTTGATCCCAGACCATCTCCTGACTGGGAGGTTCACCCAGTTTGGGGGTTTAACAGTCTCAGAGTGCAGATTTCTGTTAGTCATTATCTAAGCACACACCAGTCTCATAAACCAAATTTTTAATCTGCTTTTTAAATATTGCCTATACAAACAGACCAAATTTCTTGAATAATTGTTAACCTACTCCTTTACTTTATGCCTTGAAATATATTTCACTTCTGATGGGAAAAAATGCTTAGCCATTTATCAGTGAATCATAGATGAAAATATCCCCTGAAGAGCTCTTTACGGTATTTAGAACTTGGAGTTCAACTGATATATTCCATTCACTATTTCTAATGTTCTACCCTGGACATCTTTCTCTACATGTAATTTATATCATTATTTATAAGTATTTACTACCAAACAATGATCCATTCTGCCTTCACGAAAATGCAGGAAGTTTAAATTAATATTGAAGTCATGGCATAGTGCAAAAGACAGGCGATGTTTGAGACAAAAAAAAACAATTACCAAATACATTGTTTTTGTTTCCAAAGCCACTCAGATGTTTATTCAGACAAGTGCTGGCCATCTGTAAGGGAAACTAAATATGCCCTTCAAGTAATGGCACTGCATACATTAGAAATACCGAGCCTAGGGAATGTCTTCCACATGCAGCTGCTCAGCTGTGCACCACTTCCTGCATCCCCTAAATGCAGTAGCAGGAAAAGTACCTGCCAGGCCACTTGCTCCGCTGTGGGCAAGAACCATGCCAACCAAAGACCACTGAAGAACCAAACCTGAAATGGCTAGGCCAGGCAGCGCAGAAAGCTGGTTTAAACATGACTCCCCCTCACCACTCAGAATGAAGCAAGTTTAGAGTTTATAAATACTTTCATGCCCACCAGCCTGCCTCCACTCACAACCATCTTGAAGAGCAGATGCGCTGATTAGTCACGTTTTTACCGATGAGAAAGGTTCAGAGAATTAACTAATTTCCCAAAGTCGCCCAGGCAGTGGGCTGCCCACTAGGTATTTTGGAATGAGAGCCCAATACCTAATCCCAAAGCTTTTCCACGTCAGGCACCATGCTTGCCATTCGGGGGAATCAATGGACACTAGTTTACCCCTTTTCCTTTACAGCATGTGGCTCAGATAAATACACACCAGGCCATAATACACACACACACACACACACCCACTCACACTCATACACTCAATTCTTCCACTTGCACCTGCGGTCTGTCTTTTCTTCTCCCAGGTATTGGCCAATGACTTTTCAGGAAAATTGATTCCATCCCTGTCATCTTTCATTCCCGTGTTTTCATGCATTTGAGTGACAAAAACCAAATCTGATCACAGGTGGTCAACTTCACCCTAGCGCTAATGTTTCTCTATCTTAAGAGCAAGAAATGCCGCATTCTTTGCATCCACTCTGCAAAAATCCTGCAAGCTTATGAAAATCTCTGCACTAGTTTCCATCCGTCTTTCCAACTCTGGGGTACACGTGCATTCTCTTAAACGTCAGCCCTCTGAGTTCCAACAAATGCTGAACCACCATTTGGTTTTTCTGCTTTGATGCTACGCGTATCATTTGTTTCATGACAGAACTGTTCTTTATATTTTGTTCATCACTGATAAGATGATGCTTCACTTCAGTAAGTAACAGGCTTTTATGATCTAGCTTGGGAAAGCAATCAGCATTTAAGAATGTTTTGGTAGGAAAAAGTGTGTTTGGAATATCTGATAATTGATCTACAAAAGAAAAAATTTGAATGCAAACCAGACTATTGAAATTTCATGAGGTTTTCATTCCAAACCACTGAACCTGAGCTCAGTTACTGCTGTATATCCTAATATTCCTAGTCATGGAGTAAGGCCATACTTAAGTAAATAATTAGCTTGTAGAATGAGAACAGAGAGGAGTATGATTAATTGGTTAATTCATTATTAATCAATCACTTAACTCAGAATCACAGGAGCAAAGTAAGGCAGGGGCCATCTAGTCAATGTGCGTCATTGTAGGGCTGAAGAACAAAGGTTTACTACTGTTCTCAGACAGAGGGCTAACTGGGTCAGAATATTACCCTACACAGCATCACCACTCTGGCTGGCCTTTAGCTGGGCACCAACATTAGGCAGAATACACATCAGCCCCTGACAGCAACTGGGAGAAAGGATCATCAGGTCTTAGGTCCCAATTCTGCAACCTCCAGAAAACAAATGTTCCTACTAAATAGTACATGAATTTCTAATAACTGAATGAAAGTGCTCACCTAAATAGCCAACTTTGGATTTCTCTTCTCACATAATAACTTGGAAAAATATATAGCCTGTGTTTACTATAACACAAGAGCTATAGTCTCTAAGAAGAGCTATAACTCGCTAACAATTTTCCTGATTTATGTTTGAAAACATACAGGGCATGTAATGATTTCTGCAACCTTACATTTTCCTCAAGAACAGTGGTGAGCAGAAATATAGTCCACAAGCCATGTGAGGCTGCTTGTTACATCTCCTTTTTCAATAGAAATGGACGGTGAACAATTGTACATGCTCCACCAAAAAATGGCATTAGATTATTTTTCCCATTATAGGATGAAAGAAGAGAAAAGGAAGAAAGGGAGGGAATGAGGGAGG